AATTCAGGATAAACTTATTAAGTCAAGTTGAACAGCAGATGAATAATAAATCCCAGCTGTGTGAAGCTGCGGTGCGCCTGCAGCGCGTCAGGAAGCGCATCTCAGCCGTTTGGCTGTTTAAACTCACCGGTCAGAAGGTTCCTGAGTCTGAGGAGGATCTCTTGGTTTATCTGAGCTCAGGTAGAAGCAGGACGGATCCTGGAGGCACCGCGCAATTTGGTGATGTTCCACCTGAACTCTTCTGCCGTTATAAACTAACTGAGAGCGCTTCTTCATCCGCAGCTTCTATCTGCCTCTGCTGCGTTCAAGGACTGCTCGGAAATTCTGGTCTCGAAACAGAAAACGAATTGTCCCTCCGTTTAGTTTGGTTTAGCCTTAGTTTTATTAATTCAGGTTTAAGCCCGTTCGTTGTTTTTTTCTTTCCTGGTTTGGTTTAGGTTGGTAAAATTTAGTTCTTTTATTTTCTCAATCAATTCAGTTCAGTGATTTATGATTGTTAGGACTAGAAATAAGCATTTTAGATCAGTTCAATTATATTCACAATGAAAAAAATAATGCTTTTGGCATTTACTTAATCACATTTAGTTGCTTTAACACAATTGATTTATGTCCTTTCCTAACATGAAACACTTGTGTTAAAGTAACCAAATATGATTAAGTAAATGCCAAAAAACGGTTGCATTTTTTTTTTTCAGTGCAGGTATTGCTGTTTTTATTTTGTGCTTTTATTGGTGTGGTTTTACATTTGATTCACACTGAAAAAAAAAACTTGTGTTACTTTAACACAATTGTTTTATGTCCTTCTATCTTTACATGAAAAAAAATATGATGAAGAAAATGCCAGAAATAGTTGCTTTATTTTTTATTTTTTCAGTGCAGGGATTGCTGTTTTTTTTTTGTGCTTTTTTTGGTGTGGTTTTACATTTGATTCACACTGAAAAAAAAAACTTGTGTTACTTTAACACAATTGTTTTATGTCCTTCTATCTTTACATGAAAAAAATATGATGAAGAAAATGCCAGAAATAGTTGCTTTATTTTTTATTTTTTCAGTGCAGTTTAGCTCACATTAGATGATTTCTGATGCATATTTTTTAAATGGGGATCTGTCAT